AAGAAAGAAAGAAAGAAAGAAAGAAAGAAAGAAAGAAAGAAAGAGGAGGAGCTGTCCTTTTTCTCCATATGCCCACACAGATCCCACTCCTGCTCTTCTGTATTCATCACAAGTAGCTGTACATCCACCCTCTGATAACTGCCTTCAAACTCAAGTCTTCACATTCTTCTCTGAGCTCTTTGAGCAGCAGGGTCAACAGTCCCAGCCTGCAGTTCTCCTTCCCACCAGCAGTGAGCAACATCCCACTTTTGAAGAAAACTGGTTTTGTCTGCCTTTCTCAAGTTTGATTGTGTGAGTGCCGATGGACCCTCATCCAGCCTCTTCAGCCAGTCTCTTCAGAAGTGAATCTAAACATTAGTCCTATGGAAAGTTGATGTTCTTTCTTGGACAACTGCTCCACAGTCCACACTTGCTGTGAATCAGCCACCACCATCTTCCTCCCTGCCTCTGCTTAACCCAAGTCCCCTATTCATAAGGATACCAATCACCCTAGATTAGGGCTCTTGTGCCCCAGCATGTCCTCTGCATGCCTGTTTCAAAATAAAGCTCACATTCTGACTTGCAAGACATGAACTTAAAAACCCTTCTTCCCACAGTGCTCCATAGCACCTCATCTGTCCCCTCTTGGGTGGCACTCACTTACTATTCTACCTCTCTGCTACTGCCTGCAGAAGAAGACTGCCCACTATCAGATTGCCCTCCACTCCTTCCCTCCTCACAAAAAATAAGAGACGTATGCATGCCCATAAATCCCTGACACCCAAGTGTCACCCTACACCACCACACTGTCACCAGAAACTTCCTGAGAAAGGGAAAGCAGGGAGACACAAAGCTTACCCCACATAACCAAATGACCCAGATATCTCTGAAGGAAAAGGACATCACTTTCTGTGATGCTAACCCCTGTATATGCAGCTGAGATCTGGAGAGATTGAAAAAAACAGTCCCAAGAGAAGGGACTTCCGTTTTTTGGTTTTGGTTTTTGTTTTTGGCAGAACCAGGGACTGAACTCAGGCCCTTGCACTTGCCAGGGAAGCGTTTATTCTACTGAGCCATCTCCCTGGCCCCAAGAAGGGACTTCTGAAACCAGTGATTGGCAGGAAAGTTCCCACTCACTATTTGCTCACCAACATCCCTTCATCAGCTATTCCAGATAAGCAAATGCTACCAAGATCCCACAGCAATAGGCTCTCACCTACATTCTCTCACAAACATGTGCTTACCAACATACCCATAACATCAACCCAACATCAAAATTCACTTACTGACATGTACACATCATCTGCCATCAGCAGCCCCTCACCAATATACCCACAATATCCCCACCAAAAACTTCACACACTGATACACACACACCCCAACTTTTCACCAATATCCCCTCACCAACATCACTCACAAGTATATCCACTCCAAAATCCCATCATCAATATGCCAGAACATTCCCATAAATAAACCCACTCACAGACACACACCAACATTTCCTCAAGAACATGCCTTTATCAACATACTAAAGCCCTATCAACAAAATCTACATACCAGTATTCCCTCACCAGCTGCACTTTACCAACAATCCCACGAGACACCTTCACCCGCAATCCACCAGAAACATTCTCTCACCAATGTCCACTCCCCAAAATGCTGTTGCCAAGTGCCTTCACTAACATGTACTCATCAACATCCCTATTCCAGTGTCACTACACAATTGCCCCTCACCAATGCTACCTCATCAATATCACCTCACCAACATCACCATGTCAGTATCCCTCCTCAACATCCCTTCCTCAAAATTGTCTTCAACATTGCCTGGACAAAGTGTCTTCACAATAAGCACACACCAACATTCCTTCATCAATATCCTTACAACAGGATATTCCTCTCACCAATGTTCCTCCAACATTGCCTCCTCCAAATGTCACCAGGCCAGTGTTCTTGCACCAATGTCACCTCATCACTATCCTTCACAGTTGTGCCCTCACCAGTGTCCTCAGTCCCTTATCCACATTCTCTCACCATTATCCCCTCACAAAAGGATTTTCTTCCTCCCCTCACTAACATTCCTCCTCTACACCCCCATCAACATCTACTCAACAATGTCTCTATACTGTTGTCCCCTCAGAACATCTCCTAAACAACATCCAACCAACAATTTCAAATGCCCAACACAAATGGCCCACCAGTGTCCCCTCACCAATATCCCCTCACCAACATCCCCTAAACAATATCCCCTCAGTGTCATACCCTTGACATCTCCATCTTCTGTGAGCTTCTGAGGGCAAATCAGATTCACAGGTCAGGCAGGAGCCAGGCCAGGGCTGAGCATGGCCTCTGCCATCAGAACTCAAAAAAAAAAAGAACTCAGGGTGAGGTTTTGAATGCTAGTCTTTGTGGGGCTGCCTCTGAGAGCCCACAGCCCCAGGAAGCCACAGCCCCATGGCCACTACTAGAGGACCCCTGGCTCCTGGGAGTTAGGTGTTGGTGGCCTCTGTGACAACTTTCCTCACCTGCAGATACTACCCCTCATCAAGGACAGCTTTGCCTGAGGAAGATGCTGTCCATAAGTCCTGAGCCCTGTCTATGGCCATACCACCCTGAATGCACCAGATCTCATCGCAAGTCCTGAGCCCCAGACAATGGTGCTTCCCTCTGCAGAGACATCCTACTGATTTTTCTTAAAACCTGGGCCTGAACTCTCTTAATTAACATGGCCTGCTCCCTGTAGTATTTTCCTATATGCATCCTGCTAAAACAGTGTGATGAACCACAAAACTACCTCCCTCTGGTCCTCACAGAGGTGTAGACCCTACAGCCTGCAGCCTGCAGCCCAGCCCAGAGGCTTTCGGCACAAGTACATATGGAACTCCCAGTGCAGGCCCAGCACCCCAGCCCCACAGTTGCCTAATGATACCTGGAAAAAATTCCCCCAAAGTATAAGGGTTGGCAGATCTGCAGAGGTGGTACATTACTATGTTCCTCCCCACTGCCCACCCCCATCCCATGCATACCTGACCCTAGGACCCAACAAGAGGAGACATCACCCTGCCTGCAGGTCCTTCCATCCATGTAGTGGCCACTTCCTTGCTTCCAACTCATGGCCCTGAAGCCCTCATGTGCAGCAGTGGACAAACCTGTGGTCATAGTGCCAGGCCCATAGCTGCCCCAAGACACAGCCTGGGGGAGGCCAGAGGCTAGGGCAAGGGCTGAGCCAGGATCCAGAGCCATTGTGTCCAGGAGCTCTGAGGGCATCATAAGAAAGTAGTAACGATGGGGACAGTGGGAGCCTTGTGGGAGGAGTGGGGGGCTGTGAGGACCATGGCGGCCGTTATGGTTTATATCCCTCCCCCCTCAAAAGCCTCATGCAATCATTGAAGTGCAGTTCTACATTTTGTGATTAATTCATGATCCAGGGCTGGGGTCATGAGTATGAGTACTGCTGGGATTTATGGACATGAGTGCTACACCCAACCGGGGATGGATAGTCTGAATGCAACATAAGGGAAACAGACTTGCTCCCTGTGGCCATTGTTTCTGTTATCCCTCCCTTTTGGTTCTTGCTGTTTTGGTGCCTTCTCCTGCAGTGAACTGCTGCCCTCTGCCATGTGCCACTCTGCCTTGGAGCCAGCTGAGTATGGACTGAAACCTCCAATAACCGTGAGCTAAACAAACCTTTCCTTCCTTCATTTTGGGTATTGGGTATTTGTCCCAGCAATGAGAGAAGAGTGACTGAGACAGGAGCCCTACAGGCATAGCAGGAAATGCTGAGGCTCAAGGGTAGCCCTGGCCCCAGCACAGTGTGTTCCCTAGTGAGGACAGGCACCCTGAGTGTGTGCAGAGGTGGAGACGTCTTCCCAACATGCGACCTGCACTGTGGGATCACCAGTGACCAATGTCACCAGGCCCAAGCACCAGAACCCATGGAGCCTGGGCAGGTACAGACACTGTGGGGCCTCCTTGCCTGCCCAGGTGGCACCATGTTCCCTACAGGACCAACAAATAAGGTTATGGTCCATGTTGGTGGCAGACACCTTGAGATCTGCAGTGTGGAGCTGGCCTATGGGAGAGGGAGAGATGGGACCCCTTAGTACCAAAATACCCATCCTGTCATGGCCTAGAGAAAGAAGGCAAAGGACCAAGCATAGGACAGGACCCAAGGAGCCTTCAAGGCAGTGGCAGTGGCATCTCAGACCTCATGGGTCAGCCAGTCAGCCACTGGACACTCATGGAAGCCTCTGCTTCTCACCCTGCATGGGGCTGGGTCACTCCTGCCTGCGTACTTCAGGAGGATTTTGGACTGAGGTGGCACTGAGGACATACCAGGGACACAGTAGCCTGGAGAGCCCCCTCACTGATCTAGCATAGCATCAGTGTGCCATCTCACTGGCCCATCTCAAACTCTGCTCCTCCAGACAGCAAGGGATCCCTGGGACCAAGCACAGGATGCAGACCCTCAGCACCATGGGTCCAAGACCACGGAATTCCACACACCTCATCCCTCAGCTCCCTGAGCCTTGTGACCTTGCCAGCGCAGAGCAGTCAAATCTGTCCCTGTCCTGTCCTGTCCACATCTGTGACCCCATCAACCCTGTGGCTTGGCCTTGTCCTCCATTCAGGTCACAGGGTCAGCAAGTCCTGAGCAGGATGAGGGACAGGGACCCATGGCCCCACCATCTTCTCCCCAGTGTGGTCCTGAAGCTGCTATTCCCTCCCAGTTGACCAAGGAGTCCTTCTCTGCCCCAGTTGCAGGCACATGTCCCCATGTCTATGAGGGCAGAGGGTCTTTCCAGCCCCAGGGAGATTCTGCTCCAGCAGAGCAGACTGGTCCCCCAACCCCATGGCCCTGCTCCTCCTTAGGAGTCACATTCCGAGAAAGGCCTACTGTGTCCCCCTCAAGATCCCACTGGTCCCACACCCAAGATTACCCATGGTGCCCGGAGCCCCACAGCTGATGCAGAGCCATCCCTGAGGCAATGCCACCAAGAAAGGGGACAGCCTGAGCAAGATAGAGGGTAGGGCAGGTTGAGCTGGCTGGGCCCAAGTTCTGCAGTGGCCACCATCAGCTGGGAGTACATAGCTGTGAGCTGAGTGTGAGTCACACCAGCCTGGGGACCCAAGGGTTGTACCTGGATGCTCACAGGCCAGATCATCCCTGCAAGTACCCCCGGGACTGTGCTCACTGACCTTGGGGCATTCTTGTCCTTAGTGGGCCATGGCAGAGGCACAGTGAACATCCCTTTGGCCACAGAGCATGGGGACCCCAGCTTTCCAAATGGCCTCATACGTGGGCACCTGCACCCATCCAGGACCAGGGTTGCTCAGAGCTCCTGCCCCTCAGTCTGACAGGGAAGGTCCTGGGTGTCAATGTCTGTTGGATGTGTTTTCTTTTTCTTGTCATTTCTCTTAGGAGATGACACCCATTTCCAGAACAAGAGTTTAAATTTTCAGGCAGTAAGGCTTGTCCCCTTGACACTCAGGGTTTTGTTCTGCTAAGGCAAAACAAACCCCAAGGACAGTTGTGCAAGCTGGAAATGATGAGCAGTGAGGTTTTAACCATCCTGGCCTCTGCTCCTGTGTCCTACACCCTAGAGGATTTCTGCCCTAGCACAGGGTCCCTGGCACCGTTGTTGAGCCCATTGCCCAAGGCCTCACTACAGTTGGGCACCCTCACCGCTTGCCACCCTGGCCCTGCCCCAAACCCAATGTCCACACAAATCAAGTGTTCAGATTTTACTGGGGGTCACAGGTGACTGAGGGTGACATGCTGTCCCTGCCTCAAACCCCACCCTGTTCTCCATTCATAGCCTCTGACCACAGGGGATATGCAGTGGTGGTCCCATTTCTATAGGGATGGGGGCCTCATTGGACAAGAAGATCCTGCTATTTGTCACTCTTGCCAGCTGTCATGCCCGCCGTGCTTCCAGGCTCTCCAGCACCTGCGCAGCCTGGGTCTTGGCTTCCTGTAGGAGGCTGGAGATGCGTTGGTGAATCTGAGGGACACATTGAGGTGTGGGGTCACCCTATGCCTGACTGGCCTGCAGTAGCTGTCCATACAGGCCAGACCCCACAGTCACCTCCTGCCCTCCGCCTGCCTGCCACTCAGATGCCTGGGTGTTCTGGGAAGCACCTCTGAGGTCTCCCAGCATGGGCAGAAGTGTGGGGACAGCCAGGTTCACAGACTCCAACACAGAGCTGCGACCCATACCCAGAGGGACAACACCCATTGCAGGCAAGGGTGAAAGAGGCCATGGGCCAACATGCCAGGTCAGAGCTCAGCTCTGAGTCATCACCCAAGATGCCCCGGAGTAGGGCTGGGGATGGCAGGACCCAAGAATGGGGGCTTCCCTGGGAGTGAGGAGGACACACAGGGGGCATGCTGGAGGTGGCAGGTGCAGGTCAGGAGCTGCTGGGGGCTGGGGAGATAGCTCAGTGGTAAGCACAAGGTCCTGAGTTTGATCCCTGGTACCACCAAAAAAAAAAAAAAAAAAAAAAAAAGAGCTGCTAATGGCCACTGAAAGGATACTTTAATATGGTGAACTACACATCCCACAAGTTCTCCTTTAAGAATAATAATAATGAAAGATAATAGTAATAATGAAAATTATGACCCACAGCCACAGCTGCTAATATTGTTCCCCAGAACCCATGACTCCTCCAGCCCCCAAGATGCTAGCTTCTAGAGTCCTCTACCTAGGAGGCTCTGGAGAGAGGAGACATGAGACAGGGGTAAGCATGGGAAGGGAACACAGCACAGTCCCCAGATGATGCTTTCTCCAAGCCTGTACAGCCCCTAGTCACACCGCACAGAGCCTACCACTCACCTGGTCCCTGAATGCCTCGTCAACCACGTCCTGCAGGTTGGTGAGCACATTGAAGTATGCACCAAACACGCTTGTCTCCAAGGCTTTGGCCGCTACCTGTAGGGAAGCCAGGAAGCCAGGCTGGCTCCCAAATCACGGACAGCAGGGCTCCCACCTCACAGGAAGGTCACCTGGCCCAGACCCAAGGCTGCACCCCAGGGCCCATGGAGGGGTCTGGGCCAGGACACCGAGCAGCATCTTCAGACCCCAGGACCAGACCCTGGACATGGTATCTCTCTTATAAAGACCCTACAGACTGTGCAGTCCTAGGGTGACCACAAGGTGTCAAGTTGTGGCTCTGTCCTGTGCTATGTCCTCCATGCCATGATGGGAGTGGTGTCCATCTCTACCAGCTATCTGGGGTCTTTTCTAAGGACAAGGAGGGGACAAAAGGAAGCAGGAAGGACAGCATGTCCACTGCTGCCAGGAAGTGCTCAGCCCTAAACAAGACCTTAAAATGGGTCCTCTTCCTCAAGGACAAGCAGAGACCACCCACAGAGTCCACAGAGTGCCAGCATTCCAGGACCTGCATGTCAGAGCGGCAAGCCAGGTTCCCACAGAGGGCCAGCTCCCGCAGCATTGGCCACAGCAGGGACACCGTCTCCGCCAACTCCAGGGGCACTTTGACTGCCTGCCTCAGTCCCTCCTGCAGGGCAGCTGCACGTCTGGAAGGGAGTGGACAATGGTCTGGGCAGGGGGCAAGGGCTCACTCTGACCCCAGGCCTCCCATCAGGGCCAAGCACACAGGGCCCCAAGGAACATGAGATAGTCACCCAAGGCTCCTCTGGCAGGGCCATCCTGGCCATTGGCACCCACCTATTCCCCTCCTCAGGCGTGTTTCTGGGCAGTCTCATCGCCTCCTAACAGGGAAAAGATCATTACCATGAGTGATCAGCAGCTTGTCCATCACCATGCTCGAGGGAAAGTGGGAAAAGACAGACTGCTGGGACAAAGGAGCAGCCGAGGGGCACATTGACATGCCACACTTCCAGTGCCAGCATTGCCAGGGCTGCATGACCATAAGCACAGGCCAGGAAAAGTGCTCTGAGAATGGGCTTTGTGAGGCTCTGTGGTTAACGGCCCTTGGTACTGGCTGCTTGAAGGAGAGGACACACTAGGAAATCAGAGACCACGGGGGCATAGAGAGAACAGTGACCCGCGCTGTCTGGGTCACTGTTTCGTAGAGGATTGTGGGCCTGGGTAACCCAATACTCTGCCCAGATACTATCTGAAAGCTCAAGGAAGCCTCACCCCAAGTACCAAAGTCAAGTTAATGTGACACAGGCAACTATGCTCAACCAAACTAGAGTCAAGTGAGTTAGACCACAAAGAGAAGAGTTGTACTGAACACAGAGCAACTCTAGCCTTAACCCTAAACATCATCTTAACCCACCCTATTGCTAACCTACCCTAGTCCTAATCCTATCCCCAATGCTAACCCTAGCCCTAATCCTAATCCCAAACCTAAACCTAACCCTAACAACTATAAAGCTAATTCCAACAACAACCTAACTCCAATCCCTAACCCTGCCCAAACCCTAACCCTAATGCATATCCCAATCCTAACCATAAAGCAAACCCTGACTAAACCTATTCCAAAACCCCAACCCCCAACTGCAAAGTCAACCATAACCATAACCCTAATCTTAACCACAACAGTAACCCTAACCAAACAACAAACCCAACCCTGGCTACAACCTGAACTGCAAACTCAATCCTAAACCTAAGCCTCATCATCATCCATAATCAACCTAAGCCTGCTAGCTAACCCCCAAAAAATCCTAGCATTAATTCAAATACACAATCCTCACCTTACCCTAATATCTAGCCATACCCCTAACGCTAACCCCAACCCAGTTCCAACACCACTGGCCATCTTGAGGCCAACAGAGATTCTTCAAGAAGGAAAAGTTAAACCTAGATGCCTGAGAACTGCCTCAGATGAAATTAAAAGTGCACACCGGTGATCAACTATAACTATAACCATAATCCTAATCCTAACCCTAACTCCAACCATAACCATAGTCCTAATCCTAATCCAACCTCAACCCTTACCATATTCATAATTCTAATCCTAACCCCAACTCTAATCCCAACCTCTCCCTAACCCACAGCAAGAGAGCTATTTCCTGGCCTCTGTGGCTCCCTAGTCACTCAGGCCAACGAGTCCCTCCAATATGTATCTGCGGTCACTGTGTTCTTCCTCCAGGATTTCTGTGCCTCATCCAGCTGCTGACATAGTCTTCTCTGGGTCTCTCTTCCTCTAGGTCTGAGGACTGGGGTGCCAGCTCACCTCCTGGAGGCCATAAGCCTCTCGTAGCTACAGCCTGCGTGGTGTGGCCTGCACCACTCACAGGCTCCTGGCCTAGCAGGGAACATGAGCCACAGCCTCCCCAGACCCACCCATCCCCATGTCTCCCCAGGCTCTGCTCACCAGGCAGGCAGCAAAGGCCTGGGCATCAGCGTCCACCAGAGAGGCCAGCCGGGCCACTGCCTTGTGGAAGGGTGGGATCAGCCGCCTCATGGCTGCATCCAGGTGTTCAAAGCGGCGGCGCCCATAGGTCATCTGGCCAGCCATGCAGGCCAGCGCAGCACCCTAGGGACAGATATGTGGGCTTCTCTGTCTTGGGGATGGGATGGGGTCACTCTTGTAGGGTCCTGCCCTTTGGGATCCCACACTTGTAGGTCTCTCCCTTTGGGGCCCCACTCATGACTCCCTCCAACCCCAGGTCACTCCCAGCCCCCATGCTCACCATGGCACCAGCAGCTGCTGCCACTGAGCCACCACCCGGGGCTGCTGAGCGTGCAGCCACCTCATGGACAAAGTTATGGAGGGACGAGTCCAGCAAGCTCTGACCTGTGTTGTCAGGGACTAAGTACCTGTGGGGAAGGGCTCAGTGGCAGGGACAGGGTTGTGACCCCATGAGGGTCTCACAGGGTCCCTAGGCAACAGACCTCTGAGAACAGGGAAGGGGTGGAGGGAGGGGCAAAAAAGAAAGATAGGACTTGGAGAGGGGATGGGGATGGGGATGGAGAGCCACTTACTCAATGACACGCTCTCTGGGATTGAAGGGCACCAGGGAGTCCAGGCCCAGCCTGCTTACCACCTGCCAAGTAGGTACCTGGCCTCAGTCCCTGCCTGTATATGCCAGGTATTCCTCAGCTATCTCTGAGTTCTGCCTTCTGGGAGATAAGGCAGGCTGCAGCCGCCCACAACCTACACCCCACCCCCCGAAGCCCTGCTTACCAGGCCCTGCCAGATTGTTATACACTGCCTTCCTGCAACCACCAGAAAGTGAGACCAGAGAAAGGGGCTGCCCACTGGTCCCACATGCCCCACATCCACTGAGACTCCAGTCCTAGCATCTAGCAAGTTCTTAGTGTGGGACCAGCCTTGCCACTAGTCCCTAGAGTGGGAGGGACAGTGACCATCCAGATCCAAAACAAATTTGTAAAATAGATAAAAATAAAATAAAGTTATAACTCCTGTTTGAGATTAGAACTCAGCATACCCACCAAAACTCTAGCACTTCACAGAGCCTGAGGCCAGTGATGCCTACTCCCTGTGTCAGGGGTCCCTTCCCAGAGAGAGCAGAAGGGTCAGGAAACTGACTGGGCATGGTCTTCAGGAGCAAAGAGCTGGGTGGCAGAATCCACAAGCTGTGAAGCAAGCTCTGCACAGATGCTTCAGGAAGATGAAGAGAATGCTCAAGATGAACACAGCCTACCAGGCCACCTGGAGTAGTCACTCATGGCCAGACGCCACCAGCCCTAAGGCTGAGACGCTGCCCCACTGCAGCCCCTCCCAAGTGGAAAGGTTTTGAGCCTTCAGAGAATGGGGTCAGACTGAGCCCCCATATGGTGAGTAAGGAAAACCGCCCTAGAGGAAGGAGCTGAGCTTCTCCCATTCTACCTTCTCCGTGGGTGAGGCAGGAAAATGTCTCCCAGAAATTCCTGGTTCCAACAGAGTTCCCACACTCAGCTCCCACTGGCCATGTTGAAGCCAACAGGGATTATTCAAGAGGGAAAAGTTAAACCTAGATGCCTGAGAACTGCCTCAGATGAAATTAAAAATGCACACTGGTGATCAAAACCACACAAAACAGCAAGAAAGGAGCAGCCACCGTGAGACAGCCACAGCAGAAGCAGCACTGTGCAAAAGCAGGCCTGACCTAACCACACCTCACAGCCTGTGCTCCATGCCCAGCCAGTCTGGCACCCACCAGCCTGATCCGGTGCTCCTCCTCCAACACGAACAGGTTTTCCCTGTGGCAGTAGAAGGCGGCAGCATCCAGCAGGGCCTGCAGGGGCACCAGGCCCACCAGCTGCGAGCCCACTACAGGAAGGCTCAGCTCCTGCAAGTGGTAGTGTCAGTATGGGGCAGCAGAGCCCCAGGGTTGTGGAGCACAGGCACCCACCCTGCCCACCTGCGCTTCCCTGCAGGTCTCCTCGAAGACTGTGTGCAGCCCCATGACCTCAAAGTCCAGGAGGTTCATGGACACCTGAGCCAGGTTCTTCTCTTCCAGGTACCAGCCTATGCCCTGCACCTTCTTCAGACGGCCTGGCTGCAAAGGAGGCATGTGTTTCAGACACTGCCTGGCCCTGCCCACCTCCCTGCTGCTGCTGCTGCTGCTGCTGCTGCTGCTGCTGCTGCTGCTGCTGCTGCTGCTGCTGCTGCTGCTGCTGCTGCGTACTGGATGCTAGCGTCTGCACCAGGAAGATGCTGCAGCTCTCTTCACTCTATAACTCTTTTACCCAGGCTTTACAGGGAGGGGCAGGGAAAGGTCATTCACAGGCAAGCTGAGGTCCCAAGGTCAGGCGCAGGAATGCCCACCCCTCCAGACCCCACACACTGCCCATACCAATCCTGAGGCCTGGGGACATTGATATGGGATCAGTGTGACCTGTCTCCTGTCTCCCTGCTGGTTGTGGTAGATGGTTCTGATTTTGCCTTTGAAGCCCAGAAGATCATTCACTTTGTGGGTGCTATGAACAATGGAAATGAGTGGTGGTACACTGGGAACCCACGCCTCATGTCAGGGGCCCAGGTTTTAGGAGGGGACAGGAAGGCTGGCTGGGTCCCCACCTCCTTCACCAGTGGTCTGTGTCATCTACATGGGATCTGCACTCTGACAGGGTGATGTTGAACCACTGTGTCCTGCTGGTGGGGTCTCTGAGGCACCAGGGGGACCTGAACCATGTGGGGACAGGGGGCATCTGGGGTCAGGAGACAGCTGTCCTGTGGCCCTGGAGAGGTCAGAATTTAACCACAGCATAGCCCTTGTCACAGCACAGACTTCCCAGCGTCCAGCACCTGAACCTCAATCTGAGGCTCCAGGGCTTGAACTGCAGAGCCCCTGTAGGCAATACCCCCCCATCCCACTGTGGCCATGCCCTGGAGCTACAGGGCCCCAAAGACAGGCAACCCACTTACCTGCTCCTTCCCACGACCCTGCTCTCGCAGGTTAAGGGCAATGCGGTGGGCCTGCTCCTTGGTGGCCAGCAAATTGATATTGAAGGCAATGAGGAACTTTCGCGCCCCTGTGACAGTGGCTCCCCAGCTGGGGACAAAGTTGCTAGGGCCAAAGTCGGGGGCCCATTCAGCCTGCTTGAGCTGCAGAGGGGTTGCCCAGGTGAGGAGGAGCCCAGACCCATGCCGCACGGTGGCCACCCCTCTGGCCCAGCCCCAGCACCTTCTCAGGCAGCCCCTCGTACTCTCCTGCCCGGATGGCTGGCAAGGTGCGACGACTGGCCATCTGTGCTGCCTCACCATACAGGTACACTGTAGGGAGCCGGCAATCAGGGAAGATTAAGGCCCTGCCCCAAGGGACCAGGCAGGGCCCTTCTCCAGCCTCCAGCTGAGTGACCTATGCCCCAACACCTGGGCTTCACAGGGTGGATGTCACAGCCTGTCCCTGATGGACACAGACAGGACAGCCACCCACCCTGTCCAAACACCAACAGGAGAAGGGGTGGTACGTAGAGTGTGGGAAGTGCTGACAGGACACTTGACCTCCCTTCTACAATCATTTCATCGTGTGACAAATACAACCTCAGATAAAGGGACATAGAAGACACACAACTAGCCCATAGTCCAAGCACATGGTCCAACCTGGACACTGGCCAGGCCTGCGGGCCCATTTCATGCCATCTACATGGACCTATACCATCTATCTCCCACCGTCCAGAGGATGGACACAACCTGTCCCCAGTTCAGATGTTTGTTCCCAGTCATTCTTTTGATTAGGCTAATTCCTCAAAATGAAAGATTTTTCATGCCCATTGACTCAGTTTACTGGACTGCTCAACAGCAAGGCTAAATGATCCCTGCTGCTGGGGAGCTCAGAACTGAGTGTGTAGGGCTGGGCTGCATTAGGGTTTCTTTTTGTGTTCATTCTATTATTAGGGACAAGGGAATTTCCTGCATTGTGCAATTGTTCACTCATGGTGTTTTTTGTTGTTTTGTTTTTGGGGGTCTTTAGTGGGGGCCTATTTCTTTGGAGTTATTTTCAGTATTGCAAGTTAAACCCAGAGCCTTGCACTGAACTACATCATCACTTTTTTTTTTTTTTTTAGACAGGATTTCACTAAGTTCCTAAATTACTCCTGTTGAGCTCAGATGTGCCCTCCTCTGCCTCAGTTCCCAGAATGCTGAGATTACAGGCATGGTCTCTGTGCCCAGCTATGTTCTACACCTTTCAAGTAAACCTTTGCAGATGGCACTCAGGAAGCTGGAACAGAGCCCCTCCTAGGCACTCACCGGGCACGTTGAGCTCCTCTGCCAGCCGCTGGCCAAAGGCCTTGGCACAGAGCACGCAGTCCTCCATGCTGACACCCCTCACTGGGATGAAGGGGCAGACATCCAGAGCACCCATGCGAGGGTGCTCCCCTGCAAGGGGGCAGGCAGGGTTTCAGGGACACCCTGGTCACCCCCCTTGGTGGCTCCACTGGCCACAGGGTAGTGGCTGGTTTTAGGTGCCCCATGTCAATCCCTTGGCTGGCAGCCCTGAGGGACCAGATGACACCACAGAGGCCCCAAGACTTAGGGCAGCAGTGGGGCTTCAGGCATTTGGCACCTCAGGCAAGCCAATCTCTCTCTACTACAATTCACAACTTCTGCAGCATTTGGGCTGGAGCTCCCTCTTGGCACATGCTGGCCAGGCAGCAGTATGATCTTAGCCAGGCTCCACACTTAGCCCTGGTCCACCCAGCACCTTTCCCATCCCCAGGCATAGACACAGCCATGCACCAGACCCCTGATCTTGCCTCCACCTCAGGCTGGTCCCTCCAGTCCCTAATCAGCCTCTGATCTACTGGCTCCCCACCAGGGACAGCTGGTACCCTGGCCTCTGACCTACTTGAGCTCCACTGACCTTTGCCCCTGCCTACCACCCCCATTCTGTTTGGTTTTGCCACAGTTGACAGGTCAGTTTCCGGGATCATGTCCCCTGCCCCTATCTCAAGGTCTCCGCAGAGCCACTGCTGGCTACCTCAGCTCCCAGGATCCAGACAGTGATACCATTCCTCCCCAGAAGGGATCCCCCAACCCTTCTTGCTCCAGGGCCCTGGCCTACTCCTGTTTTGTTCCATCTACTCCACCCAGGGAAGAGAAGCCAGAGGAATCAGAGCCCACCAGTTCTAGGCTAGAGTAAAAGAGAAGCCCACCCTATGGGGCACAATCCCTGAGCCACCCTTCACTGGGACACAGGGACCAGCAGGGACCTTGAGACAGAGACTCATGTCTACCTCAGCCCATGCTTACCTCGGTGCCTGCTCATGTCGATGAGCTGCCAGGCTGTGTGGGCAGCATTGAGTGCACCCTTAACCACACTCTCCGGCTGCCCCACAAAGGTGTAAACAGTGCGGTTGGTGGATGGACCTGCATCCACGTCCAGCAGCACACAGCCCGGGGTCTGCGTGATGGCCGCTGATATGGCATCGATGACCTGGAGACAGTGCCAGGCTCAGCCCCAGCCCAAGAAGGAACTCAGGGCACACCCAGGCTGGGTGGTGCTGAATATCTGTGGGGTTGTCAGGCCCAGAAGGAGGGGACCTGGCCCCTGTGGCCAGGCTTAGAGGCTACCTTGCTCTCCAGTCCCTTGGTGGGAGCCTGAGATGTGGGTGGAAGGACAAGAATCTCCAGAAAGGAGCAGGGGCTCAGGGCCCATTCCTGGGGTCCTGCCTGACCTCTGTGCCTCAGTTTCCTTGTGGGTTAAGTGATAATAACAAGAAGGGTAGGGGAGGATCACTGTGACATCTGGGTCAATCCTCAAGGACCTCCTTTTCAGAGAAAGGCACAAGTCCTTCACAGATCTCCCAGTGTCCAAGGCCCCGAGACTATCCGGCTCCCCCCACCACACCTTCCCTCTCTTCAGCCTGAGTTCCCAGTCTCACCTCTTTGTTGTTCCCCTCGGAGAAGTTGGGGACACATTCCACCAGCTGGGACATGGCCAGCACCCTGATCTGGACTCCTCGCAAGGAAGGAGGTGTAAGGACCACTGCTCTGGGGTGGCAAGGTCCTTATTTCCCTAGGGGCCACCCACAGTGGGCTTCTTATTAACCAGGAGGGGGTGGCTCTCCAGGGCAGCATGTGACCAGACCAGGGAGCTTGGGCTGAGGACACTGGAGGCCCTGGAGGGGTAAAATCTGGCTGGGGGCACATTACTGGGCTCTGGCTCACCATGGCCTAGGGCTGCCCATGGGCCTCTCTGGTGACCTTGGGCTGTGATTTCCTGGTCCATCTCTCCTAGCACAGGCCCTCCAAAGAGGTCAGCCCAGCGCCAAGGGCATGGAAACAGCGTGTGTGTGTGTGTGTGTGTGTGTGTGTGTGTGTGTGTGTTGTGCATGTGTGTGTGGGTGTGTGAGTATGAGCATATCTGGTGTCAGGATACACATATATGTGGATGCTGGTGTTCATGTGAAATGGATGTTGGGTTTCTGCCTGGTGGATGTTGCTGTCTGAGTGGATTTTAGTGACTGCATACAGGAACACATTGTGGGGAGGATGGGTGCTGCGTGTCTGTTATTTGCCATAAGTGTCAGTGCACTCCCCAGGGAGCTACCCAGGAGGTTGAGGCAGGAGGATCATAAATTTGAGTTCCTCCTGGACAATTTAGTAAGACTGTCTCAAAATTTTAAGAAAGGGCTGGGGATATAGCTCAGTGAGGCCTTGGTTTAATCCCAGGTATCATAAAAATAAAAGGAATGCATGAATGAATAAATAAAGAAAGTAGGATTTCCTTCTGCATGACTGTGCTGGCCACATAGGGACACTAGACCCCAGCTGTTCTAGGAATGTAGGGACACCCCAGCCTTAATGCCTTGCCCACATTTCAAACCTGGAGCCAGCACCTAATGTTGAGTGCTCTTAAAGTTCCACAGGCCTCTCCTAGGAGTGGCCCCCAATCTTTGTCTCATAGGGTCTGAGTTGCATCTTCCTACGGTAGTGCTGGGGTGGCCACAGAGAGGAAATCTGTGTGGCTCTGGAGACCGTATGTCTCCAGCAGCAGCTCAGGGGACTGGGAAGAGTCAAGACTCTCAGGAGCAGTGGCAAACAGTCCCCCAGTCAGGGTCCTATGTCTCGAGGCTGGGAGGAAAGGAAGGATCTCCTGTGGAATGAATCATGTCCTCCCCAAGTCCTTGTGTTGAAGCCCTAATACTCAAGGTTTCAAGATGCAGTCATATTTGAATACGGGGTCTTTAAAGAACTCTTTCAGAGCCTTTTTACCAAGATGGCGCCGAAAGCAAAGAAGGAAGCCCCTGCCCCTCCCAAAGCTGAAGCCAAAGCAAAAGCTTTGAAGGCCAAAAAGGCCGTG